CTCTTCTCCCCCTGCAACCCCTTCTAAGCTTTACACTGACGAGGGAAAAATTAATTCAGCTGAAAAAGACATATTTTGGGCCCCTGCTTTTCCATCTACTCCTTCTTTCTTTGGAAAACGTGCTAGTCACAATGACAAATAAAGCACTCATTACTGTCTACCTTCTCAATACTCCCAGCAAAACAAGCTTTAATTTAAAAGTGTCATTTTATCACTGTAACTGTATCTACATTAAGGGATTCCACTGGCAGAGCTGCACTAGGTAAGGATGTACATGCTGGTTAATGCAGCTGTCCCAAGCACTTGTAGCAGGAACGACCTTATGAGCACGTCCACAGGGAGTTAAAGCCACATAATCACATTGCAAATCCATGCCCCCTCCCTGATATCAGTTTAATTTTCCTAAGTACATGACCCTTAAGGGTCACAGGCAAGAAAACATGAGCTATAACTTCTCAACTTGACACTTGTGATTTTTTTTTCCATGAGGACGTACCTTTGTTTCGTACTTTCTTGTATACAGTACATTCTCTTGTATTGTCAACCCACCAAAAAAACCAAACCAAAAACACAAAGAAGGAAACAGAAAAAACTGACCTCTATGTGAAGGGAGAAAAAAAATGCAGTGCAGGTGCTGCAAGAAAGTAAACAATGCCATAAAAAAATGCAGGAATAAAGGGCAACATTTTGGTCTTCAAGTTTTGAGTAGAAAATAGCAAAAGTTGTCACTAATATATTTCAGACAAAGACAGTGTACTAAGACTAGTAATAAGTAAGAACAAGTTAAGTAATAGGTAAGAAGAAATTAAAACTAGTAATAAGTAAGAATTAAGCAGATGGGACTACAAGCTGTATCTGATGGGACTAGAAGCTAAGGTAGTAATTTCATCTGAAACCAGATAAAATTCTGAAGAGAATTTCATACAAGAATACTCTCAAATTCCTGGTGACATTAAAAAATCCAGTATCTCAAAACACACATGACACACAACTCAGGGTCATGGAAGGGATTTTGATCTGGGCCTTTTGTTATCCTGTTACTCTCCTGCAGATCAGCTTAACCTGCAAGGCCCTCAATCACTCATACTGGAAATCTTAAAGCTGCTAAAATACTGTGGGCTTGTTTTGTGGCTTGCAGGATACTCTGGAAGGTAAAGAACAAAGAATTAACAAGAGGCCCAGGCCCTCGTGTGGAAATGAAAGGCAATCTGAACCTGAGGCTATCTTCTCAGGAGACACATGAATTGGTCCAGCTAGTCACAGCTTCAAGCTTGGCAAAATGCTACAACGTTTTGAAGGACAAAATCCCAAACCTGGCATTTAAAAATGTCTGCAAGATCATTTTACCTAACCAGGAGGCAGCACAACCATCCTTTGGTGCCGCCTTCTAGCAAACCTCACACTTCAAAGGATTCAAGGTGACTTTGGCTTTGCTAAAGAAAAACCCAAGGAGAAGGGAGCTCATAGATGCCAAAGAAGCAGTCCATGAACACAGTTTATCCTACTTATTTCTCAAGGACCTTCCAAAGCAGCCCTTAATATATCAAATCATTACTTCTCTCCCTATATGCTGACACTGGGCAGCAGGCACCTTGAAATGCTCTACCACAGCCAGCTCTGTTCTGTGGGTTTGAAGCAAGAAACTCCTCCTTTTCCAATTAAGTGAAGGATCAGACAAACAAAGCCTATATTTAACTTCCTGTTCACTGAGGCAGCTGCAAACAAGTCCCTGTAAACACTCTGCAGGTCACAAATTCCCAATATCTTATCTAATTGTTAAGCTGCTGAAGTAGATCTCAAAGCTCTTTCCAACAGGCTTTCTTGAGTGCCACTTACAACAACTGAGGCCACTGGTTATGTAACAGAGCTGTAAAGCCAAAGCCAAAAGGCAATAATTTGTTAACCTGATCTATTGTCAAATGGATTCGCATCTAACTATTCCGTGTAGAAGCTACACATATATAAGAAGTAAACATTTTCTGCCCCATATGCTAAAAAGGCACAGCACACACTCATTCTGAAAGTCACACAGACTATGGGAAGTTTGTTTTTAATCACAGGTCTCTGTCAAGTGTATAAAAGCTACCTTGGGTTTTCACACTTTCAATTCTTCTAAAGATGCTGGAAGGTCACGTTGCAGGTTGGTTTTTGTTGGTTTTTTTTCTACAAAACAGTCTGCTAAATCACATGTATTATCACAGCCACAATATGTCATGGGCCATCTATAGCTAGGGAAAACAAATTTCCCTTTCATTTTCTCCTCCAGATCAATACAGTGTGATAACAGGTGCCAGAAGCTTATCCTCTCAGGCTGAAAGAAACAAAATAACAAGCAGTATGGGTAGGAAATAATACACAGTTCTCTTCTCCCATAATCATAAGAAAACAGCAAATGACAGGAAACCTGATTCAGAAAAGTGCTCTGCACTCATGCAAGAGTCAAGCTGCCAAGCTCACTACCCAGGGACACTGACCTTTATCAGAATTCTTAAAAGGTTTTGAAATTTCTTCTGGTTGTCATGTCACAATAGGATGAACTCCAAAAACACAAGTCCTGGAAACACTTCACAATCTAACTTGTAATCCTTAAATGCCAGGTTTTAGGAAGATATTTTAACTGGAGTGAATAAAGAGCTTGGTTTACATTTGGCTGGTGAATGATATGATACCCTTAACTACTTTAACAAAGAATATTTGAGTCGAGCTGCACTTACAAAGCAGAATTTTAAGAGGACTGTTTTTTGTTATCAGGCAAACCAAACTGTCAATAGGTTCCCTGTATTCTCAGCTGCTGAAATACTCTGGAAGTGTCAACCCTAAAAATGATACATGATGAACGAACAGACCACAGGAACAGAAATATCTGATCTTATTCAACTAAAGCTAAGAATAATTAAGGGGAAAACAGAACCCCCCAGGTGCTGTTATTACAGGAAAAAAAAAATACCACTGTGCAGAGCCCCTGAAGAAAACTATTCATACTTATGCATGGTGCACAACAGTGATACTTCTTCAGACTGACTAAAACAGAGGTTTTTCCTCAGTTCTATGAAAATTAAAGATGCATGAAGCATGTCTGATAACGCTTATTGGTTCAGACTTAGCTTACCGTCAAACTGTAATAAGTGTATTCAGGTCAACACTTGTGGTAAGAACTGTGAAGTATTAAGACCTCGATTACATAAAGAAGATTTATGTCCAATGCCACTTGTACAGCATAAGAAAACACACAGTATTTGGTTCAAATGGAAAATAAAGCAAAACATTCCAATATTTGCCAAAGTAAGGGGATCTATAATAATTTCGTATAGTGTCACATTAAATCTAAGTAAAACCCACATCTTAAAGATTAACATAATGCAGGTTTTATGATGGGAAGCATGGGGGTGTTTAAGAAACTATCTAAAAAACTTGCACATGTAGTGTTTCCACACAAACTGAGCTTCAGAGTGCTTTAACAATTCTTTTGGGACAGACTCAAAAGACTGAAGTTCTTTTTATTCCATACGTTTGTTGGATGAGAGTCAATGCCCATGAATCCAACAGGCAGATCTTCTTCAGATCTGCCACACAGCACACAGACCAGAGTTTGGAAAAGTGAAATATACCTTCCACCAGGCAGCAAGTGGTGTGAGCTCCTTCCAAAGCTCCAAGCCTTCACCAGTTTTATTCACAGCCCACAATAGCACTCAAAACAATGCGAGAGCACCACACCTCATCTTCTGCAATAGCTCCAGCAATTTCATGGAAGTTACTCTCTGGTTTGATTGAGCCACTGAGTAAGACACGGGACTATGTAGCCCCCAGGCTTCTCTCCCAAATCCTTCTTGCTTTAAATAACTCACTGACATCTGCACTCTCTGGTGCACTGATTTTGGTGTTCAAAGCTGCTTATCGCCTATAGTTAGCTGTAATGAGATCATGACTGCCTCCCCACACGTGCTTAAGCTGCTTAGACAGTACTGTCAAAGGACACAGAACAAACAGCCAGCCCTATCTTCTTGTGCCCTTTCTAAGACTTCTAAACTCGCTCTCGGAAATGCTTGAAAATACTTCGATACCAACAGCGAACAACGTTAATTGAAATTAAAGATCACGTGATATTTTGCATTAACCCACTCTGGAAGTTTAAAAAATGGGGAAAATGCAGGTCAGAATACGAAGAAAAAAAAGAAATATCAGAGCAAAATATATGAGCCATACAGTAAGTAGCCCACCTTTAGATCAGTATTTAAGCCAGCTGTGACAAAGACACAGGAGCATCTCCCGAAGAGCGGGCACCACGTCTCCTCTCCCTACCCCAGGAAGGCAGTTGTGGAGCTCAGCATCTTTGATCATTACCTGTTGCACTTTAAACCAACAAAGACCATCTGTGTGACACAGCTACTATTTAAACATGCCATGCCTCGATGAAACGATGTCATTTGAGTCTGCCTCAGTCATGCTTAAACCATAGCTACTACTATTGAGTCTTATCTCTGTTGACAAAGAACTGGGAGAAAACAGATATGCTAGACTTTCTTCCAAACTTAGGACAGCACAAAGTAACCTCTTTGAGCCTGGAAGACTATCAAGTCAGCCTTATCAACTTTCAGCAAACCAACCTTACAATAAGAAAGGAAAAATAAAAACCAGACAATGATTAGAGTTCTTAAATCTTAGTACGGTGATTCAAGTGCAAATGAGCCACCTAAATGGCCAAAATTACTAGAGCATGAGTGAGCTTCGAAATCTTGGAAGTTTAATTCTTATTACAAAGAACTGACACTGATTTGGTGAATGATTAGGACTGAGCTTTTCACTCTGTGCTAGCACACTTACCTGGGCGTTCCTGCAGTATCCTTAATGGTAAGACCGTAACTCCCACAAACCATATTTACATATCCTTACTCAAAGGGTAAAATTACAAAGGAAGAGGTAAAAGGCAAGCAGCTTATTTCTCTTTGCATGATATTTAAGGTGGCTGCATATGTGTTCTGAGCAAAACAGAAAAACGTTACCTTAGAGATTTCACCCAAGCTCTTTCGGCTGAGCAGTCACTGGAATACGGACCCGATCTCTCACAATCAAGAGGGAGCAGGACCCCAGAAGCAAGTCAGCCTGCAAGATGTTGTATGGAAATGAGTTAGCAAGTGCTAAATTAGCTTTTATAGAGATCTTTACTTGCTCATCAGTTCAGAACTTTTGAGAGCATGTTTTCCCTCAAGTCTGGGACCAGAATTCACAGTGAGCTCCTTTCAGGATGCAAATGCTCTCACTCACTGCTCTGGGCTCTGACAGATGTTCTCTACCAAATGTGTCACTGAGACACTGAGGGGACACACTGTCCCCAGCTGCCTCAGCCACCCTCAGCTGAAGATCACGGGTGGAGCAGAGCCGGATGCACAACTGTTCCTCACCAGGCCTGGTTCACAAGGCACGGATGGTATTAAGGAAGAAAGGCTGAAGAACAGTATATTAAACCAGGGCAGCTGAACGGGCCCTGCTTAGGCCCCAGTACAAGGGAGGTAGTGTCTGGCAAAGCAGGAGGACAGCTGGTGAAGGAGATAACCTTTCTAACTACAAAAGCTAAATCAGAGACAGCTTATCTATCAGAGCCCTCAAACACGTGTAGTGACATCCTACCAGGGCAGGCACATTCATCTCATAACCTCTTTCACTGCTTTTATCAGATTTGGTTGACACAGATCTTCTAGTAATACAATTATGGCAGCTATGCCTGTGTTGTTTTTTAACAGAAACAACTGCACCCATCATAACTACCGTGGACAGCATTATACAGATGGAGGCACTCTCTAACAGCAAAGCTTACTCCCAGAGAAGGGGATCAAACATTGTGAATGACACTGACCACATACTGATGGGGTTATGCAAAATAAAAGCTTAAAGAGGCTTGTCTTTTATACACAGTTAATGCCACTCAAAATGCACACAGATGAGCCTACAGAAATAAATCATGGCAAATTACTTGCACCTCAGTACCATCTGCACTAATACATAGGAAGCACAAGCACCCAACACACCGATTAAGAGAACTGCATCTATTAGGAAGTACATCCACCCGAACAGCACACTGGGAAAGCCAAAAATAACAGCTGCTGCCACATCAGAATGGCACAACACTGCGCACAGGCGATGCCTGCAAAACAGAAACCAAGCAGCCACGCACAAACACTTCCTCTTCCTCCCCCACCACCCCTACGACAGCAGCAACAAACCTGATATTAAACACTGGCCAGCATCCTGCTCTGCATTCCTGTCACATCAGGAATAGGAAAGAGGGAGACTGCTAGCTGCTCCTCCTTATAGCTGAAGGGTTCCTTCACTTTACAGCACGTCATACAAATACTTGACATGATTCTTGCAGAGGTTTCTGCCGCATTTTCTTTTCTTTCGCTCCTTTTCTCCAGCTCACCCACTTCAGAGCTCGCTAGGGACCCTTTGTACTTACTAGGCTTGTTTTTGATACACTCCTTCCCAAAGACTGGCAAGTCAGAAATAAAAGCAGTTGTTCCTAGGCAAGTCACATATAAGCAAGCAAGCATAGAGCCACGGCTTGACTGGGCTGCCACACACAAAGTCTGCAAGTCAGGTCCAAATCTAAACCCTGCCCAGCACCAAGACTGACAGTGTGACACTGTCAAATGCAAGAGTAAACAAACCAGGCTGCAGCCTTCTGTCAATACCGAGTTCTGAGACTATAAATCCCAGCATCAACACTCAGTGCTCACATCTCCAACACATTACAAGCCAATTCCCAATGGGCAGAGCGGGGGAATTCACTGACAGCAAGTGAAGTGAACTGCAGTAAGCAAGGCCTCTGTCAGATTTTCCATGGCTTCAGTATGTGTATTTCAAACACAGATGGAAGAACTCTACCTCCTCTGGAACATGGGCTGCAGATATCCAACTTCAAACTTAGCACCTGCATTTCTTATCCCAATGGAAAAGCACAGTCAGTGCCACTCTGTACCTATCGTACCGGCCAGAACTCACTAGATTCACAACAACCTTCAGACGCTGAGAAATCAGCTAAAAACTGAAATCTGGAAACCTTTTTACAATTATCTGGTGATCCACTGAACCAAAGACACTGTGTCCTGTAAGCAGATGGTCAACAAATAGCTCCAAGCTTGTACTGGGCTCCTCATCTCTCACTAGTCAAGCTCAACAAGGTCACATTTCAGAGTGTGATAATTTTACCCAAATGAATGAGCTCCATATGTGCAGGAGAGAAGGAAAGAAACAAACCAGGCAGCTCGGGTGAGATGAGGAGAGCACAGAACTGCATGATTAAGAAGAAATCACAATGCTTGTTTAGAAGGCTGAGGGCACAAGTACTACTCCAGCCTGGGCACTTTTTGACCTCTGAGTGCTTGTTACTATAACCTTGACTTCTCACCACGTGCAATGCAAGACAGAATAACTTCCAAGTCAGTTGACTTGCACAATCTGTCATGAGAGGGGATCTCAAAGAACATCTAATTTTGTTTTTCTACAATATTTTTATAGGAACGACATGCCCAGTACTGTCAACCTGATGATGAGGCATACAATGATACCATTCACAAAAGTAGGAAATAAGCATGGGCACTACTATTTCATAAATTTTTAAATATATGTAAATATGCACTTTGAAGCTATATGTAACAAAATACATACAGAAAAATACACTGCTGCACTGTTACACACTCATAGTGTTGGTTTCTCTGGACAAGGATAAGACTCCATTTCAGCACCAGCCCCACGTTCCCACCATTTCCCTTGCACCAGCAAAATCATTTAAGCACCCACACCAAGCTGTGGAGAAAAAAAACTGCCAGTTTGTCTCCAGCTTGATCAACTTTTAAGGAGGGAACTCAGATTCCCACCTTTACAAGCACCCAGCAGCAAGTCAAGAACCTCCTTTGGGCTGCAGTCTATGCTTACATGAGCTGAAGTGCCTGTGAAGCCACATACAGAATGTGAAACTGGTGACTGGAAGCAGATCATAAAAACTGTCCCCCCTTCTCATCTCAACACATAATCGTGCTCACTTGCTCTTTTTCTATGCAAGAAACAAACAAAACTGCCACAAGGTGCCTAATGAATAACCAGACTCCAGAAGAGGGTCCAACCAGCATATCCTACTCTTTCCACCCCTGTGGTCAGCAGAGATTCCTCTGGTAATGACCTTGTATACATCAACATCCCCCTCAAGGAGCCAAGGACCACTTCTCCTACTCTCCCAAAAGTCTTTATCAGACAGGAAACAAAGGCAATGCCATGAAAAGGACACTTCAGATCCACCTAACGGGCTCTAACCAGGACGGCATAGGCTGTTCATCCATGCACCCGGAAACGGCGGTGCTGAAAAAGCTGGGGAGGGTAAGAAACACCCTCTAAGAAAGAGAAAGAAAAATTTGCATTAGGATGATTTGAAACATTGACAAAGCAAGTCTGATGCACTTGAAAGAACAACCTAATGTTATCTTGCTTTATAGAGCTCACATTTTCATCTTTTCACAACCTACCACTTTCCTTCCAGCTCCAAAACAAAGCACTTACCTTTGATCAGTGCTAAAATAACCCAGCCACAGAAAAATACTTCTCAATCTCTGCAACAACAAACTGTTACACAGGATTAGGATGTCCCTAATAGGCCTATTTAGGGGTACAGCGATACCTAATAATTGATATACCTAATTCTAAAGCACTTTGAAACTCTTGATAGGATTTCTGTAAAAATTAAATCAAAGTCTTAGTTCAGTGACACATAACAAGAAAAATATCCAAGAAAATCTCCATCAAAAATCTGACCATACACTCATGTCCCTATATCAGCTGCAGGTGACAGTTCACTACAATGAGACCTTCACCAGGCATTACAACACATTATTTTGTGAGACAAGCTACCAACACAGACGTACTGATCACAGAAATATTTCATTAAGAACGAACAGAGACCCAAGCCCACACTGTTCCAGCACCATTCAGCGCTTCATTAGCAAAGGCCAATCGTGGAATCCGGCTTTGGAAGCTCTGAACACCAAGTTAAGCCAGGTGAACCTGAAGGGAGGAAAAGCAGATGGAGCAGAGACACAGCAAGACGGGCTGAAACGAGAAAGGCAGCACATACCAAAACACATCATTGGGAGGAAAAACGGAGGCTGATTCCGAGCTTTAAAATGGAGGGGGATGGAGACTGGGACCAGTTCAAATTCTGAGCAGCTCGAAAACAAACAGGAGTCAGTCCCACCTACCAACCCCTACTTGGAAACCCCAGGGAAGGCTGGTTACGGTCCGGCTCTGCAGACCCACGAACAGACCTGCGCTCCGGGTGTCCCCTGGGTGGCACCCAGCGATCCCGGGCCCCCCACCCTCCCGTGCCGGGGGGCAGCGCGGACGGGCCCCCGGCCCCACCGGCCTCCTCACCATGTTGGTTTCATGTTACCGCCGCGGTCCCCGAGCTCCTTCCTGCGTGCAGCTCCTGCGGAAGGGAAGAAAGGGCACAAAAGGAGGGAAGGCTCGCTGTGCCCGCCGGGCACTGCCCTGCCCCGGCCCCCCGCCTCGGCCATGCCTCACTCGGGCACTGCTGGATCTCACCCCAGACACATGGGCTCCCCCTGCACCCACCTCAGGGGGCCGCTCGTGCATCCCCTGCACCCCCGGGCCCGTCCCGGTGCCCTCCTCACCCCGGCTCCTCATGGAGCTGTGTTTCCCCCTTCCCCTCTCCCCTCACGGGGCCGCGCCCGGTTTTCGCTCCCTCCCCTCACGGCAGCGAGCCCGGCTCACCCCCCCCCACCCCGCCTCTCAGCCTGCCCTGTACCCGCCCGCCGCAGCTCACCGGGGCCGGCGCTGCCCGCCCGGCCGGGACTCCGGGACAGCGGGACGCGGAGCCCCAGCGCCGCCGCTCCCCGCCGCTCGAATCAACAACAAGATGGCGGCGCTCGGGAGGGCGGGGCCCGGCGCTGGCCGTCATAGCAACCGCGCCGTCCAAGGCCCGCCCCGCCGCCCCTTTCGCCAATCCGAGCCCGAGCCCCGCCCCGCGGGAGCTTAGTGACATCGTTGATAGGCCGAGTTTGCCGTCGCTCAAGCGCAGGGCGGCCCCACCCTGTTCCGAGCGCGGACGGCAGCGCACGTTAGGCACACGTGACGCCCGCCAGCGCCCCGCCCCGCCGCGGGCCGCGCCGCCTCATTGGCTGCCCGCGGGGAGGGGGGGGCGCTCGGCCAATGGGCGCGACCCGCGCGCACGGGGGGGCGGGGCCGGGCTGGGCGCGCCCCGCGGCTCCGAGACCCCCGGTAGAGACCCCCGGGTGAGACCCCGAGTCCCCGGGCGCTGTGGCTCCGAGCTCCCCGCTCTGAGCCCCGAACCCCTCCGCCAAAGACCCCCGCTCTGAGCTCCCCACCCTGAGCCCCCCCCCGGCTGCCACTCCGAGCCGGGTCTCGCCAGCAGAGCACGCACCTCTCCGGTACAATAAAGGATTTAATTCCCCAGCGGTCATCGGTCCCCGTGGTCTCAGGGCGAGGGGGACCCCCTGGCGGAGTCACACAGGTGACCCTTCTCACTGTGAAATTTCACGGCTGGCCTCTGCCCCCCCTCCCTCCCTTTAGCCACCTACTTCCCAAATTAGTCTCCCCTCTTATCCCGCCAGCGCTTAATTTCCCCGGGAGCTGCCAGGGAGGTGTCCCGTAGCGCCCTCCTTTGAAATTCAAATAGCCAGGTTCCCACCTCTCCCGCTGACTGGCGCCTTCAAAGCTTCCCGCCGCTCCCAGCTCCTGCAGCGTCCCTCTCACCTGCGCCCACGCTAATTCACTTTTCCTTCTAATTATCAACCCGTCCCCTCCGCCGACCGGCCGCTCGTCCAACCCGCTTGCGCCCCTGAGCCCTGGAGCAAAGAAGAGCTTGAGGGAGACACTGGGCAAAAGTTTCTCACAATTACCCGTGACTGAGTCTTCTTGCCCCAGATCACCTCTCTGCGGGAGACTGCCCTGGCTGGGTCACATCCACAGGCTACAGAGATGCTGCTGTGACCAGAGGAGACCCTGCCAAAGACCTCAGCACGTCTTTCACAGTGCCAACTCCACTGCCGTGACTGCTATCCTTGTCCTGAGTCATGCCACCCACATCCCTGACTGGAGATGGCAGTAATGACCCCCACAGCAGGACAGCCACCAGCCACCAGCGGGACTGCCTGGCCACAGCACTCCCTACGGCAATCACAGCAGTGCCTGCAATCTCTGACATCATTTATTAGGTCTGCACTGTCTGAGGTGGCTCAGGGTCTGGCTGCACCCCATGGGGAGTCGGTTCAGCCACAAAGGATGGGTCTCCTCCTTGAGGGCCCCACCAGGTGTCTGCCAGCGCCCAGTGCTGTGCCTGGCACGGCCCACATGGAGCTGTGGGTTGCAGGGAGCCTCTCATCCAGACAAGCCGCTCAGATCCAGCGCCGTGCCCCAGTCACGCTGTTGAAGAGATAGTCCCTGCCGGTGCCTGAGAGGGAGGCAGCATTCAGCCACTGCCCCAGGGGTCCGGTGCCCATCTCTCTTGTCTCCAGACCCCTCTGCCCTGGGGGACACAGCCCAAGGCTGTGGGGCCATGGGACAGGGCACTCACGTGGGTCCTGAGCACGGCCATCAAACTGCCCCTGTGTGGAGGAGAGACAGGAGAGGGTGCTGAGGGTCCCAGGGCTCCTCCTGCCTCCTGGGCAGGGCACCCACCCTCACTGCCATGGCACACACTTACCTGGCTGTTGGCATGTGGGTGTCCCTGTTCCTCCTTGCCCCCGCTCTTCTCCACCACATCCCAGGAGCTGCAAGAGGGAAGAGGGCAAGAGGAGGGCACACTGTCAGTGGTGGCCCCTGGCCTTGACCCCGAGGGATGCTGTCAGGAGCGGGTTGCCAGACAGGCTTTACCCTGCCAGCTGCACCCTGTCGAGCCCATTGTCCACCTACCTGATTGTCCCCTTACCCAGTCCATGTGTCCCCGGGCACAGAAGGGGATTGTGGTAGGGCTGTGCTCCCCCAAGCACCTTTCAGCAGTGCCTGAAGGTGCTGATCTGGTCTGCCACCTCATCTGCTTGTTCCTCCACATGTTTGAGCTCAGAGGACACTGTGCTGGGGGATCTGCAGCCTCAGAGCCCCCCAGTGCCAGTGCCACCCATAGGAGCTGAGCCCGAGTCTTCTCCCTTTCATGGTCACTACAGCTCCAGTGCCACCAATCACTGGGTCCCCAATCTCACCAATGAACGTGGATCCAGCCATGCATCCCCTCAGGGTGGTTATGCCACTGAAGGTGGCTGTTATCCTGCCCGTGCACGTCTCCTCCTTGCCGTGCAGACACCCTGTGCAGGCTGGTCCAGCTCTAGTGTCTCCTTGGTCTTTGTCCTCTGCTGCCTGTCACCCTCATTGATCCTCAGGAGTGTGCAGCCTGCTCACCTCCTCCCTGGAGCTTTCCCTGGCAAGTGGGGCTCACCCCTGCCAAATGGGGGCTCCCCTAGTGAGCTGCACTGACCTCAGCCCTGGTGCTGGGACCCAGCCCTGCAGTGGGCAGCAGCACCAGCACTGTGCCATCCCACACTGTCCACTGCAGAGTTTGTGCCCCAGCCTGGCTACCAACATCACTGTCCACTGACCAAATCACTATATTTGCTCCTATGGCTCCCATCAGGGCTGAACCCTCACTCTGAGCAGAGCAACTGAGAGACCACAGCCAAATGTGGGGTGTGTTAAACACCCCTCACGTGCCGCGTCTCCCTGGCTACCTGCAAAGACACTGTGACTACCAGTATAACTGCCCTGGCCGCGCAGTACTCACCTCTTGCCCAGGAACAGCTTGCCAGGGCCCCGGCTCCTGTGGGAGAAGCAGAGGGCAGACATGAGCCCCTGGTCTTGCTCCCTGTGCTGTGCTGTGCTGTGGGCTGGGGCTCACCTGCACAGCAGGCTCCGGGCCGTGCAGCCCAGGGTGGCCAGCAGCAGAGTGCCAGAGATGGTCAGCACGGCCACAAACCAGGCTGGTGGGTGCCACACCACCTCCGTCCGCGTGACAACCAGCGGCTCCTTCTGCAGCGTCTGCAGAGGTGGTGGAGTGAGTGGGTATGGGAGGGCTGGGGGGTTCAGTGGACTCTGGGGCACTGCCTGGCCAGTGGGATCTGCTCACCGTGTGCTGGGTGGTGGTGCTGGGTGGCACTGGAGTGCTCCAGGGGGTGACGTGCATCACCAGTGCCACCACGGTGCTGCGGCGGCGGGCACCAGAGCCACCCCAAACCTCCACCAGTAGTACAAAGGTGCGGGGCTCGACTTGGTCATTGGGGAGGTAGACGACGGTGTTCCCCTCCAGCCGAAAGCGCCCATCCTCGTTGCCTGGATGAGAGGATCTGCTCAGTGCCGTGCCGTGGTGAGGGTTGGTTTGTGCTGTGGTTTGGCTGCTCCTCACCTCCAACAATGGTGTATGTCAGCGTGTCACCGTTGGGGCTGCCGTGGCACGCCAGGCTGGTGACAGGCTGCCGGCTGCCTGGAGACCCAGCCGTGATCCGCAGCTCCTGCACCTCGGGGGTGCACACTGGCACCTGGTCTGGCACGGCCTGCCAGGAGCAGGGAGTGGTGGTGTGGCACGCACAGTGCTCGCAACCCCTGCAGTTCACCCGAGGGGCCGCACTCGCACCTGCAGGCGCACGGACACATCGCACAGGCGGCTGTGCCGCTTCGCCGGGTCCAGGTCGTTGTGGGTGTCTGTCAGCCGCACCACCAGTCTGTAGCTCTTCTGCTGCTGGGAGTCCAGGGGTCCCACCACGCGGATCTCACCTGTGGGGTGGTGTGAGCTGCGGGGCACCAGTGGGTGCCACGGGGTGTGGTGGGTGCTGGGGAGGGGGCCAGGTGCTCACCAGTGCGGCTGTCAATGGAGAAGGGCTGTGCCGGGCCGGATTCCCCCTCCAGGCTGTACTCAAGGCTGTCTGGTGGGTAGTCGCGGTCAGTGCCAGCCACACGCCCCACAACACTGCCAAAAGCTCCTGTCTCTGGCACGGTGAAGGTGGCACTGTTGGGGCATGCTGGTCTGAATTCATTCACAGGTGTCACCGTCACAAGCACAGGCACACGGGCTGTGTGGCACACGGCAGCTCAGCCACGCTGGCCACTCCACAGCCCACACTGAGCTGGGCAACATGGACAGTGGCACCAGCCCTGGGGTGGGCACCTCTGGGGCAGCAGGGAAGGAATGTTTCCTTTGTGATCTGCTGGTTTTCGGATCAGGAAAAGGCTTTTCCCTCCTCCCCCACTGCGACCCCTGGGCACACCCCAGGGACGTGGGCACTCACTGCTCCGTGGGGGCTGCTCTCCTGCTGTCACCACGACGGTGGCTGTGAACTGAAAGCCCATAGTGGCCACAGCCTCTGAGTCATAGTCCAGGGTGGTGTTGACCTGCCAAGCCAGGATGGGGAGGGTCAGGCAGAGCCAAGATGCTCTGCAAAGCCAGGGTGTCCTGCAAAGTCAGGGTGTCCCACAAACTGCAATGCCAGGGGAACAGGAGGGAGCAAGCAGGAGGAATAGGCAGGCCTCGGGGAGCAGGGAGCCCTGAGGAGCCCTGACCCAGGACCTGGCATGACAGCACATGTCACAGGGTCTCCCCTGTCCCACCAGGCTCCCTGGGGTCTGGGCTTACCATCTGCCTGGGCACTGCCTGAGGCCCTGCTCACCTTCAGCTGTGGCCCCTCCATGCAGAAATGGGAGCGGGAAGCAGGGGACCCCTCGAGGGCATAATGCAGACACTCATCAGTGCCAGTAAAGTCGGTGCACCTCAGTGTCACAAGGGTGCTGCCAGGGGACACTGTCTCGGGCACCTGGGACCTGCAGTAGGGCAGCCAGCAGCTCAGCTCCTGTCCCACGTGTCCTAGGTGCAGCAAAGCATCCCATGTACCCCCACTCTCTCCCCAAACCGTACACAAAGAT